GTGTATTACCACGCGTAGTGCATTTTGAGCCAAAACAAAAGGCAGAAAAGTTTTACCATGTATGTAACTTGTTTGTAACACTATTTCTCATAGTATATATCCTACTCCGTGTAAAATAAACGCAGAAATTCGAGTGTAACAAGGCAAATACTAATGCAATATTTTATGATCAATTACCTGTATTGTAAATTGCGCCAATCCTTGCTTTCCCTGTCGCTCGATATGTTTTTGTCTGATAGTCTAGACTTCTCTTGTTTGATTGATTGCGAAGAGTGTTCGCCGGTATAACGCTCAAAACGACATATTTTTTGCTAACATAACACCCACACAATAGAATTCTCTCTTGTTGTTTTGGTGCTACCCATCCAATGACGTCACAAAGTTCATTGACCTTCAAGATAGCGGCGAACTGACACAAAGTTTGCATGCATTTTACTCGTAGACTAAAATGTTTGAGAAGGAAATGATAATATTTTCATAGTTAGGTCGTCAAGTAGGATTGAAGTAGCCAATAAAAATTTTCATTGCCATTGTCCTTTAATCTGCCATTTGATTGGTTGATGCTAATAGACTAATGTTAGACTAATTTTTGATCTGGGCAAAAAAAGTACATGCCCGTAAAGAACTTACTAAAATTAGTAAAATTGCAAAATTTGGTTTTAATTACGACTGAAATGTTGTAAAATGTGGAAAATATAGCCCTGCGAAGTTTGCATATTTTGTATATGTTTATATCACGTGCGGAAATTGTTACCATTTTTGAACCTAATTTGCAAACTTTGCAAGACTATATTTTCCAAGCTTTACAACATTTCGCAACCAAATTTTGCAATTTTTCTAATTTCATTATGTTCTTTTTAGCTGTGGTGTTTGATTCTCTTTTCTTTACTTAGATTAAAATTTAGTCTAACATGCAAGTTGCCCATTAGATTATTCTATTGCCAGCAGGGATTATTCTAAGGTGCAGTGATAACCAATTTGTGCAGTGATAAATGAGATTTGTGCAGCGATAAATTAGATTATGTGCAGTGATAAAATGCGATATTGTTCAGTACCAGAAATTGGCGACAAAATGAATACTGCTTGTATATTAATTTGCATATAATCCACATGTGACACATGCAACGACTTTCAGTTTTTACTGGCAATGTACAAGGTGAAAATATTTAACTCTAATATTATTATATTAATTATTGCAATCGGAGAGCTCGGCTACTGTTTGCCGACCTCTTAATCAATAAAGCATTCATGCATTTACTAATGTTTCAGTGGCATATTTATTCCTATCTGGTATCTCTCCTATAGCAGCCAAGTCGTGTTCAAGAAAATCACTTTTACATCATCTTCGCAAGGTTAAGTTGCTGCCGAGCGATTTTGTTTTGAGATTTTTGACACTGTTTTTTGACAACAGTTTATAGATTAATCTATTTCATGCATTCAGAGTGTGAAAGACTAGATCTTGAGCAATATCGCTTGGTGTTTTGCATGCAATTCAAAAAATATGTGAAAATGTGTATATTTTTGCATGAAATAGAATATGCAGAATGCAGATTTGGGCTCCATTAGCGGTCATTTTGACTCATTTGCGTGCATATAATTAGTGACATGGATGGGGTAACTTTAAAGATGCAGAACCAGAGTACATATACTCATGCAGGGCAGTCAGAACGTTCTCTAAAATGTCGCTAAATATATATAAATTTTATTATTTTCGCGCTTTTGTGCAGTGATAAAATTTCCTTAGAATAATTCCTGATTGTCAGTTGATATACTTTATAGTGATCACAACTATAATTAGATTGTTGTGGTCGTTGTGTGAAATTTAAATTTCTCCTCCGACATTTTGATTGGATACTAAATATAAAGACTATAAACTTTGCTGTGGGTGGAAAGCGATCGGATTAAGGTTTGTGTCAGACTATATTTGTAAAATAGAGCCTGATCTCTGGTTACATCTTCTTACGTTACCAGACTCGTCCCCAGTCGTTATCTAAATCAGGGACATGTATCGGTCAGTGGCAAATATATCGATACATGTGCGCTCGCTCGTGACTTCAGCCGCTAGACAATTACCTGAATATTGGTGAAAACAAAAATAATGCTAATAAAGAGGAAATATAGTATAATATTACAAGATTTACAAGTATATATATTTATATTGAAAAGCGACTGGAAGAAAGTCTGAATGTACACATTTAAGATATATTACAATTCATATAGGATCAAGCTGTGGATGTTGAAACGGGCTATGATCCGGGATTGTGTAATCAAACTAATCATGGTAAGTTAAAACTGCTAAAAAACCGTGAAGACGAAGACAGATTTTTGGTTTGTTCTCAAGATAAAGGAGTTTTCAAGTGGAAAGCTACAGATGGTGAGTAGCACTTTCATCTTACAAGCAAATTGGGAGGGCACCATCTCGGCGTTTCGCACGACAATTTATCGAAATGTTGGTTTGCCAAAATTTTCTTTACAGTACTGTATATATTAGAGGACTCAGTCCTTGTTACCGCTCTACGGTTGATAATACATACATGACACTATACTTTATTACCAATCATGAACGACATCTGGTGATTCTACAACTACATATATATACAACTGCTGAAACGAGGTGACAACACGAGACGTTATATTTCTTAACTGGAAAATACATCCAGCAAAATGGCTTCCTGTGTGACTTTATTGCTTTATTACAAAGTTATTTTTCTCGATTTCTGCTAGAATATAAACACAATGATGGAATGACTTCTTCACCTGACTTTGAATTAAGAAATAGTTTCTGTTTAGGGAGCATTCATTTTTTAGCTGGGGCGGGGGTCGGAGGAATTTTGAGGGGGGTCAGCCAATTTTGACATGCTTCAAAGGGGTGGGTCTTTTCATAGTTTTGGTATAAATGGAGGGAGTCATAAAAATAATCAGTGAAAAAATCACCAATATGATTTTATTGAATTTGGAAATATTTGGATCAAGAATGGTAAAAAGGTCCAGAATCTACCAACTAGCTATCTCGTCATCTATAACAATGAAGCAAAATTCATTTGACGCTCTGTTCACACAGTCCTAGGAAAACATTTCCATGACATTCGTCAATTGACTTCGTTTTTATCCGTTTTTGTGTGAAAACATGAATGAAAGAAAACGCAGGACCGTAGCATGATTTCAAAATCATGCATGATTTCAAGGTCTGCATGACTTCAAAATCATGCAGACCTTGATTAATTTTAAGCTTTATTAATTTTAAGCGGCTACATTATCCATGACAAACTGCAAAGAATGAAGATAGTACCCACAGTTTCCTGCAACTTATCCTAGTTGTCCAATATATAGTAAATTAAATACGCCTTCGCCCATTTAGTACTACCAAATTGTCAATTTCGACATACTAAAACGCTGTTTTCTGACCATCAGAATCATGGGCGTACCTGAAGGAAAAAATTAGGGAGGCGGAAAGAAATTTGCCCGACTTTTCGGGATTATGCCCGACTAGAACCGAAAAAATATTTTCCAGAATTTTTTTTTTTTGCGACCTCCCTCTGCTCAAAATATTTTCGATCACTGTACCATTTTAGGGGTCAAAAAATTTTCCGTACATACCAAAATTTTTCCGAACATCACACAAATTTGCCAAACAACACAAATTGGACCACACAATCTACAGAATTTGTCCCATTTATTTTTATAACAAACTAAAATTGCCCGACTGTTGATCGAATATTGCCCGACTGCCCAACAAACTGGCGGGGATACCGCCCTCCCCCCCCCCCCGCCCGGTACGCCTATGATCAGAATTCTGTCAAATCTTCCCCCAAAGGCCAGGAAATGGCATTTCAGAGACTCTAGATTTAAAAATTTCCTCGGGCCTTCGGCCCTCGCTTTCAGCCTCCCCCCCCCCAATCAAAAAGAGCTTCCTACGGCCCTGAAACGCTATGGAAACGACACCGTATGGATTAATAGTTAGGATGAGGGGTCAAAAAATTTTCAGTAAAAAAAATAGGGGGTCATAATTTTTTATCAACTTTTGTCTTGGGGGTTCCAAGTTTTCGCATGGAATTATGACATCAGTTCCTCCGGCCCACCCCCAGCTAAGAAATGAATGCTACCTTAGCATTAATTTGTTCAGGAAATGGCTGAGAAATTTGGTAAAATGAAATGTAAAACTATGTCGTTCGAAATATAAACGTTTTAATACGCTTTTCACTTTTATACAAGTTTCAAAAACACAATAGTACAATGCAGTGTCAAGACACCATATAGCACAATGAAAACACGACATATCAAAAGAAATAGTATCGTACAAATTGAGATATAGGATACAAAACAAAATTGTTTTAAAAAGAATATCACGACTTTTCCCAACAGTCGGGATAGTTTTTGCTATTTGTTTGAAGCGAATGTTTCGAAGTTTTAAATAAGTTTTAAATTGTCCGCGAATATGTTTGACACAGTAAAATAATAAAGAACCCTACCTTTCAAGTTAAATACAACATTTTGTGCTTCTTTCGTTTTCTGGGGACGATTTTTTGAATATTTTGTCGATTTTGAAACCAAATTTGCTGAATCATTCTTTTTGAAAAGCATTATTTACTACCCAGGGGTCAAGCCCGTTTAGGGCTATCCACCGGCTAAATTGTGCTTATCCACCGTGTAAACTTATACGGTCTCTTGAGACCGTTTAAATTGCTATACGGCGGATAAACTCGGAGTTTGAAGATAAAACAATGATTTTTAATTCCGTGGCTTTGCTATATTTACCAGTGTCATGTTTAGATGTTAAGTATATATACTCTGGCTTTTTCTCCTTCTTTTCTTCTATTATATAGTTTGAAAACAAGCAGTAAGACTCCCAATTTTAGCTATTGTAAAACAAACAATGACTTTGAAAAGCCAACAAGTATACAAAATAGACAACAAGACGTCGAAAGTCGAAAAAAAATTGTTCGCTCGCGTTAATCGCTTTGATCAGCCAATCAAAACTTGGGACAAAATGTTCTTAAAATTGTTTTGAACAAAAGTGCAAGGTCGGGGAACAAATTTCAAACAGTATAAAACTGAATCAACTGACAAAAGCCAAATACAGTTTTTGCTATTGCCTTCGCGACTCTTCGCATAAAGAAGCCAAAAATCTTTAGAGAAATATCCGTAAGTGAATTTAAGTGAATGAGAAACTCAGCACAATGTGAAAATGAAAAGTTTGATATAGATTTGCAGCAACGAATGGACGAGCAAACTCCAAATAAAAACAACAACAAACTTTATTGAAAAAGCTTAGTGGAATTCACAAGTTAGATAAAGCTTCAAAAGTTTACAAAGGCCTAGCAACAGCTGACGTAGAGGTAGGAAATTTCAAGAAAATCCGGTTTTCTCCGGTTAAGGTTATCCTACTGGGGCCGGTTGTATAAAACTCTTAATCACTTTTTAATCACTATTTTGTAGTTAAATAGTGATTAACTCTCAAATACGCGCTTCTTATTGGATGACGTTTCCACTAACTATAGTTAACTTTAATCACTTTTTTATACAACC